TATATATGCTATATATGTGCACAACTGTGGCAGCTTCGGCGTAAGTCCCCTCTGCCCTGGGTTTGAATCTCAGCTGGGTTGAATTAGCACATATGGGGGATCAGTATATAGGGGACAGATTGGTCCGCCCTAAATTTGCTAGCATGCACTAGTTTGAGAAATCAAGGTCTACAAAGAATTCGAAGCGCCTCAACTTTTGAAGTCATTGATAAAGGAAAGAAGATTCCTTGTGTGTAATTGTCCCACTATTTCCTCTTGTTTAAGAAACATGCCAGCGCCTTTTCTACATCGTAGGCTACTTGTGTTCATTTGATGGTTGTTGCCCCTCACTTGGTGATGCCCACTTACAACAACTTTAGTAGCCAACTTAATAAGTAATGGTTGTAGCTGCATGATTTGCTTTTGCACATAACACCCCATTGAAGTAATAGCTTAAAAGGGTTTTTGGACGGGCACTTTGACGGCTTTTTTCTTATGTTAGTTTGTTGTGCTTTACTGTCGAAAAGACTTTCTTTCCCCAATCAAGGAAGACAATAAGATCGTCTCCCTCATTATTGGGCAATCATGGTTGTGTATCATACTCCTGAATACCTTCCATAACCTGTAAGGTGATGGCAGTTTGTTGCCATTTTTGATGTTTGATACGAAGAGTCCCTCCCCATTATTTATGTCAGCACCACAATAACCCACTGTATGCTAACTCCATCCATGGCATCTATGTTGACTGCTGACTGTAACAACTGACTTGATTTCTGCGGAGTTTTTCTTCCCTTGCCTATATACATATACTGGGAAGGGAACCTAGATGAAAAAGAGAAGAGCAGGCGTCAATTCATTTGGCCATTTAGTTAGGTTGACCTGTTATGGTTAAGTTTGAGTTAATTATTGTCATTTATTTATTGTTCCAAATTGCACATCAATCCTTATATGTGGGCTGAACAAATTCTACGGTTGATGTTGTTGCACATCCATTTTGCACTTTTTAATGGCAATAACACATCATATAGCAAAGGTTTCATGGAGTTATAACAAATAGCGCGACACAGTATTTAAAAATATAAATGATCTATTAATAATTGAACGATATGAGAGATTCTGATAGAAGTTGCTAATATAAGATTTGTTTGAACATACATAAAAGTTAATGAAATGCAATTACATTAGAAAAATAAAGCTATTATGATAATGAAAACAACTAAATTTGTGACTTGGAACTATCATGGTTTGGACAATGTATAATGTGTCAAAATGTTAAATATTGAATGTAGAGATGTAGCTTACAATTGGATGATAATTTTACAAATTAAATAACATAACAATAATCAAGCAAAAATCAATGATTTATTAACACAATATTGCTAATAATCAACTAAATTAGAGCAAACAATCATTGATTTATTTTGTTTGTTATCTTTATTTGGTTGTTGACTATGCGATTTTCTCCCAAGTTCTTTTTATACTGATTTTTTTGGTAGTCTGCATGCATCAAATTTGTTATCTTATGTAATTTTGTAAGTCACATTTATTCACTCTCTCTCTGTACCTCAATTTCTATTTAGACTACCAACAAGCAAACAAATGAGTCCTTTTACATTAGTCTAAACATGTGATCGTTTGTTTGGCTGGTTTGGAACTACATTGTCGACCATTTCTGGTCCAAATAGTAATTAATACACTGATAGTAAATTTGTATTTTAATTTGTCTTTGCAAAGTCCTATGTATTCATATAGTGATAAGAATTGTAATTTTGATGTAATTTTTGTTCTTTTTGCAATTTACATTATTTTTTGCTGCGTCCACCTTTTATGAAAAAATAGATGCATGATTTTGATATTTTTGCTTTTGGAGCCCAATTAACAGTTTTGCATCATATTATATATTTATCTTTTTTATGTAGGCAGTTGATGCAGATTCCATTTCAGAATTGAGGAGTGAGCTTGGCCACCAACTTGCTAACAAGAGCCGCAATCTAAATCTCAGGTCAATTTTCAGCATTTTATTGAGCTATTTATGCTATTTTAAATAGAGAATGTTATAATAGGTAGACTATCTAGTTCAAATTGCTATTTAGTGAAGCAGGAATCTCAATAATTTTTAGGAAGATTTACATGCATACCACTTAATTGAGAAAAGCTGTATTCACTTTTTAAAAATTAAAAATGGTAATAGTTTTGATGTGATATGAAAGATTTGGGTTGTAGAAATGTGAAAAAGTAAAATTTTGGTTTTAGAAATGTAAATACATAGGAATTGGGTGGTATGTATGTAAATGCCTCTAATTTTTAACTCAAAGTGTTACACCCTTGGTCCGGAAGGTTGTACATCTTGACAAAACAGGACATGATGAAATGATGTTAACCTGTTTTGTATTTTCAAAAGAAATGTTTTTATAGAAACAATAATGAAAATAAACAAGAAAAGTCAATTCATTTTATTTTATAAATGAAACTTCAACAAGTGATACAACTGAAGGAAACAAGAAAATAATTGGAACAAAATTGAAACTGAAGTAACTATCTAGCCCAAAAAAAATACCAAAACCACTGTGAAAATGAAAGTACCCATTAGAAATCTAAGATTGGTAAGTTTGCTCTGGTAGAGACGGTCCTGTAAATGTTTGAATAGAACTTGCTATATAAAAATATCAAATGGCAAACTTGCAAATCTTTCTTAGTAAATAAATACTATTTATTAAAGCATAAACGACAAATAACACGGAGCATGCATTATAATCAACAAAGAAGGATAATTTACCATGTGCATATAAAATACTATTGTAAATATTGTCATATATATGCTCCATTTGTTTATGGACAGTTTGGTTGAGTAAATTAGCGGTGTACTATATTTTTTTTGTAGGGATTTGAGAAAATTATGTGTTTGATATGAATAATTATAAATACAATGTAAAGTTTTAATGAATTTGAAATTTACACCGTAGTTCATTTTGACTGAAGTGAGAATTCGACTGATTTGGCTGAATTTAAAATATACTATTTATGTAAAGCTATAGGCAAGTCGCCATCACCCGCCGCTGTTGGCCACTGGTCGCAGCCGCCCCCGTCGACCGCTGGCCTCCTGCCTCCCAAAGTTCGCCTCCGCTTGTTTCTACTTGCCGCCGCCGCCAGCCATTGTTGCCTGATGCATGTAACTGTGACTGCCCGACTGCTAGTCTGTTGCCATCGCCCACTCTCCGAACATTGTGGTTCACCACATGCCATTTGCTGCCATCACCGGCCGCTCGACGTTCGTAGCCACTAGTTGTCAGCAGTCACCGCCGCCAGCCGTTGCTGCCTAATGCCCGTCGCCGCCGCTGCCCGACCGCCAGCACTTCACCATCGCCTGCTCTCCGCCTACTACAGTTCGCTACTTGCCGCCTGCACCACTATCGCTTTTTGCCGTCGTCGGCCTCCCGTCACTGCCTCCCTTGTCCGCCACTGCCAACAACTCAGCTGTTGGCCATCCGCCGTTGTCGCCCTTCCTTCTCTCCCGCCGCCGCTAAACAAAAAAAAAAAAAAAAAAATTGAAGTAGATTGTTTTCAATCTATTTCAAACCAAATAAAAAAAAAAATATAAAATTCTACATTTATTTCATAGTGAATCAAACAACTCTAAAGTATTTCAAATACACTTTAATCATAATAATCTACTAATCTTTTATATTGCATTTCATTTTCAGTAGACCAAATGACCCTTTAATGAAATATACATTCAGTTCAAATTCAATCATTTCTTACGAGTGTATAACTTAACAATTATTTATTATCTAATTTATATTTATATATCTGGTTTTAAAAGACACCCTGAAAACAAGAAAGTCAATACCAACTCAGTGAACCCTACAATTTGTTGTTCACTCGTCATTCTGGAGGTCTATTGGGCTCGGCTAGCCATTATCCAAAAAGGTTCCATCGACCTATATACCACCACGCATAAATATACAAAATTTTTTATATTTATAATATATAAGTAATATGCTACGTCAGATAGGCATTTGATATGATAAAAACTTAAATGCAATTTATAAAGTATAGTGCACGGATTGAAAACATTAAAATTGCATTATTTTATCAATTATACAGAGTTTTGCAGAAATAAAATAAGACAACTAATTATTTTATTATGAGCAACAAATAAATTATATAACAATTTTAAAAAAAATACGAAGTAAAATTGACAGAACGACAATTTTACAATGTATCTAGAGATTTAGTACAAATAACAAAGATTAATGCTCATAACTATGAATGATACATTTAGGGTCTGTTTGGTGCAGCTGCAGTTGCGCTGCCCCAGAAAGCAGTTGCGGGGAAACAGCTGTGGGGGAACTGGTCGTCTGTTTGGTTCAGCTGCGTGAAAACAACTGCGGAACAGTTTTTTCTATAAAAATGACCATTTTGCCCAATTCAATAAAACTATGTAAAACATAATATAAAATAATATGTTTAGTAAACAAATTTAAATAATAAATTTACATTAATTAATAATTAAATAGTAATTATTTATATCTTTATCACATAATTAAAAAACATAAAAAAATATTTATAAATAAATTAATTAATCATTAAATATTAATATATAAATCCATCTAATTATAATTAAATTAAAAATATATGAATTATTACTTATTAATAACTTAACAAAATTAACAAAATTAAAATCGTTATCCCTCTATCCCGATTTTGCTCAGAATCATGGCCTTCGGCAGCGATGAAGCAGAAGGTGGAAGAAGCAGCAGTTGTCTTTGGCTCTTCGGTTGAAGGTGGAAGGAGTCGGCGGCTTTTGCTCTTCGGTCGAAGGTGGAAGGAGTAGCGCGACACGACACTGTGCTTCGCGAGAGACCAGGAGAAGAGGACGGGCGGGGAAGCGAGACGAGGTTCTAGGGCAAAGATCGGCTTCGCGAGGCGGGGCAGAAGAGGAAATATCGCCCTTAACGCGGGCCGCGGGGTCGATCCCGCTGCAGGCTTTTCGCCAAATTCGCGGCCCGCGACTAGCGGGACGCTGAAACAAACGAAAAAATTGCTCGCGAATTCGCGGCACGGTGCAGCGCCGCAGGGATACCGCCAAACCAAACAGGCCCTTATCCCATAATAAATAATTGTTACTTATCTTGAGACGGGCAATACAACTCCAATTTTTTTAATAGCAATTCAACCAACATTGAATAGTAGGTCCTACACATATCACACTCTCCAAAAGATAATAAATAAGCATTTATATTTATTAACTTAATTTTTTATTGAGTTAGGGGCAATCTAAATGATAATTATTTTTTTTTATTCATCATCTATGTAATGAACATAAATATATAAATTTAATTCAAATCAATTGGAGCTTATTATTTAAACTAGATTATTCTGACCTAAAGAAATAATTAATCACGGCCCTCATTTGATAAAAAAGAAAAAAAAATTATATATATAGACCCACACACACACACACACATACATATATTATTATTTTTAATAATAATAATAATATTATTACCTTATAATTAGATATAATTATTTATTCATTCACATATATAAATGAAATTAAAATGAAAAAAAGAAATATAAATGAAAGAAGAGAAGGGGCTCACGACGCTAGCTCGTTCGAGTAAGAAGGGGGGGCAAATGAGGCCTATGGAGGAGAAAGGGGGTTCAATCCTCTGCGTTTGGCTAGGTCGAGGAAAGTTGACGGAGATGGAGAAGGAATGAGGTAGAGAGAAGAGGGAGAGAGAGACGATGTGGCACTTTATCATTCACCCCGCTTAAATAAAGAAAAAAGGCGATGGAAACATAGGAGAATGTCGGTTGGTTCTACTAAGGAATCCAAATAGGGAATGCAGCAAGCATGTGGGGGAATTGGAAAGAGTTGCAATTCGGGAAGTTTGTTGCAGGTAGAGATCGCAGGATTCCTGCAATTTGAAAAAGGCAACATGCAATTTAGGGAGGGAAGAAAATAAAAGTTTGATTCATGTCTCGGTAGAGAAAAAAGAAAAAAATTTTGGATCCTACACAAACTTTCCATTCTGTGTTATATTTCACCTCTAGATGTTTCTAATAACAAACCCAAAATTCTTGTGAGTTACAAAGAGAAACCCGTTATTTTAATTTGTCCGTTTAAATCCTAATGAGATCAGGAAGAATTCTTCACCTTATGTCAGAAAATTGATGTGATGAACATTATGAAATCAAGGAGAATAACACACAGATCTACTTGGAAAACCTTGGACGTAAAAAACCACAAGCAGAGGAGAATAGTTCTCTACACCGAGAAAGAGATATGTTCTTGTGCGGGGAAAAAAAAAAATAGTGAAGGTCGTATCGACCTAATCTCTTTCTACAACCATAGATCCTCAAAAAAATTTTCCCATAATTTTTATTTTACAACACTTTTGTTTTAAAATTTGGGTCACAAAGTCTAACACCTTGCTAAAATTCAAAGTCCACCAATAATCTGTTAGGGAACAATTTTTGTATCTCACAGTTGTGAAATGCTTTTAATGTTTTTGCATCATTATCCAGGATTTCTGGAATCTAAATGATACATCTAATAAAAAATTGATGAAATTTAAACAGTTTGTACTTGTTTCAGCCATTTGCTATGGTGTAAGAAGTGGGTAAAGTTGACTGAATACTCCATGCTTTAAATGTTTATTTATGTATATGGAGAATAGCCATAAAGTCTCATCTGCTTCAATAATTTTTACCATCAGCTGCAATGAACGTTTGGTTGTATCGGAATCCATTCAAGTACTGCTCTGTGCGATTTTGTGAGCATTACATCCTGAAATGCATGTAGAAGTGATGTGCTTTCTCTTTGTTTTTTTTTTTTTGGTGAGAAATTTAAATAGGTATCAGACAGCTCTTATGCATTTACATATCTAACACCTAAAGTTTGATATTTATATTTATAATACCTTGATGTTATAAACCTTTTCATAAAAAAGATGCATTTGACTTTTAAGAACTAAGTAAAAGTGGTGTTTTTGATATAATGTTAAGGATTTGAATGTTATGCATCTAAATATTAAAGTTTGGGTGCTGGTTATGTAAATACATAAGAAATTTGTGGTATGTAAATGCCCCCTTTTTTTAATTTCATATTTCTTCCAGGAGCATTGGAGCTGTCGTTTATAAAGTCCCTGAGCTGAAAAATGACCAGCTGCTGAAAATAAGCCTCCGAAGTATAGAAATGGAGGACACAACAGCCATATCCAAGGTTGCCTTCCGCCCCTTGCTGTCAAATATTTGTAGAAAAATGCTCTTATCTTCTTGTTTGCTTTTATTTTCTACAGGTTTATGGAGGCGGCGGACATTGTAACGCAAGCTCTTTCATTTTGAGTGCTGATGAGTTTTTTAAGTGGAAGGTATAAGCTTCCTTGTTTAGGGCTCTAAGCTAAATCAATTGTTCCTTGATGATTCAACCTATTTTTTTCATCAGGGAAAATCATTTTAGTCCTAGAGTCTATATAAAAATTTCAAATTTATCTCCAGATTCTTTAAATTGAGGTTGAAACAGTCTCTTGTAAAGAGTATATGGGGACTAAATTGCCATTATTATATACTCTGGAACTAAGATTACCCTCTGCAAAAGGTAAGGTAAGTATTTTAACACGTTACTCATTAAAAAATATTCAGTAAAGTATCCATGTTTCTCCTGGTTTTCTCACCAAACTGTTCTTGCTGATACTTTATGCTTTACATTCTTTGTTTAACTTGTTTTCAATCATCTCCGGTTCTTTTGAATGACTCTACTCTTACTATATTCTATTTACTATGAAATGTATGATAAAGTGAAGCAACTGCTGAGTTAAAAAGTTTTTATTCAGAAATAGAGCTGTTAGACTGGAGAAAATATTAGGTCTGTACAACGCATGTACAGACAGCCAATCACATGCATGCACACCAGTATGTACGTTCTCTCTCTCTACATCTCTGATGTGATTGGCTGTCTATAGGCACGTTTTACAACTAATATTTTCTCGTTAGATTCAGGATCAATTTTGATTGTCTTAGCCTTTTTTTTATCTTACGCACAAAAGTTAGAGAATGGGAACTCATGATTTTTTATGTTTGTTATAGAAAAATCATAGAGCTTTGTCTAATTAAATATGTTAAAAAGTGCCATCCTCATGTAATTGAAACAAAACCATTGATATATGTTGCCTTTTCATATTTTTTGAGACAAAGCAGAATGATTCTATTGTGTTCAGCTTGTTATTTATTTATTTTCATTTGTTTGAAATTGGCTCATATTTTGCTTGAAATTGAACGATTCAAATAGGAACATGATGTTCATTAAAATTTTAAACACATGCTAATTTGAATAAATGAAAATTAGAATATGTAAAATACAAACACAGAACAAGTTCGTTCAAACTCATCTTATTTATACCCTTAAGTTGCAACATAGGTGAAGTTTTGGTATGGTCTTTGATGTTAAGCTTTGTGACATGGATATTAAAATGGTAGAAGCATTGTTGCAATGTACGTTTGTGAGGTAAATCATATTGACAACATTTCAAATTAAAATATTTTCTCTAAATGAATTAAATGAGGTTTTTTCTTATATAATTTTTTGAAGGGCATTTCAATTATTATATAGAATATTTCTTGTAGTTGCTATTAGTTGTACTGTTATAAATCCTCACCGAAGGCTATTACTTAATAATGTAGTTATTGTTACTTGGGGATGTAAGCCCTGATTTTAGTAAACATAACATTAAAGTCTTAATCAAAGTTATAGTACTAGTCCTGAACTTTTATGTTAAAATGCACCTAGTGCTTCTTTATTCAACGTTCAATTGATCTATTCTTCAAGTTGAGTCAATCCCCTTGTGAACACCTGAAAATCATCATTGAGATTCTTAAAATGTAAGCATCAACTTTAATCAAAAAATTTTCTTAGAGAGGAATTCTCCTTAAAATGTTATAAATCTTTTGAGCTTTCTCGTAGGAGGAATTAAACCTCATAATAAATAAATCCCACTTCTTTAGGGTAGGTAGAAAAAAAAAAGTTATGGGAAATATTTTAAATTTTAATCATCTATATTTCTCCTTTGAACGCGTTAATTGTTTTGATCTTTTGAGATTAGAGATCATTTCCTAAAAAATTCTTAAAGTAGAAAATTTCTGCATAGTGATTAACGTTAGAAATTTTCTGACAGTGATATCCCGCATTTATTTGGGGAAACCTTTCAAATTTATTTTTTGATATTTGATTTAGCTAGATTTAGTGAATGGCAGCCCAAACATCGAGCTAGAGGAGGTGTAAGTCTCAAAAAAGGAAAAAAAAAACTTATAAAATTAAATATAATTTATAAATATGATATAAACCATTGACAAGTTGATGTAGCATATTATTAGAAATACATAAATCATAAATTTTAATCTCAGTTATTGATAGAAAATAGAAGTTTGAAATGTGCTTCTAGTAAACATTCACTCAAAATTTAAATATCTTACGAGTTTAAAGAACCTTAGTTAACTAATCATTGCTTTCATCATCTTCAAAAGAATCATCATATTTATTATTAGCTACGTTTGTAAACATTAAATTATTATTTATTCACTACAAATTTTTTCTTGCTATCAATTAATTTAAAATCCAATATAACTTAAAATAAAAAAAAAATTAATAATATAATAAATTATCTTTTGACTTTTTTGAAACATTGAATCAGATGTAATATAATATAATATAAATTTCTTCTTAATTTGATCAAAAGTCGTTGCCCAAAATGCCTCAAGGCTTACATCTCAGATGAAAAACGTGAAAGCCTCACCGCTGAATGAAAGGTTTATATCTCAAGGCTATTTGGCGTGTCTTAGTTTAAGAGGTGTCTCAAGACATAAACCTCAAACATCTTTTTAAACAATAATTTTCTGTAATATAGATTTTTGAGAAATGCGAGTGTGAGCCGGAGATTTAGGTCCTTATAATATAGACTTTCTAATAGAATTTGGGTTTGTATGATTGTCTTACTCGATGTCATGTCTTAATGACGTAGGCTTCTTTTAGTGAAGTTTTTTTTTTACTTGATTTTTGTTTAGGGATTTGTTCTTAGCATTTTTAAATCCTGCTGCAAGGATTTAACATCTAATATGGTTGGTGCTAGTTCATGGCTGCCCTAAGCGTTTTGGAGAATTTGTTTATATGAATTCTTATTCACGGGCCTTTGTAACACATACATCTATGACAAGTCAGTGCATAGGGTGTGGCACCAGTGAGGGTATGATAGGTCGTACGTGTGGCAATACATCACACAGGAAAACTTATCATGGGGGTGAATGACTAGATGTAACAATTATATTTTAAAATCAATGAGATTTCCCCATGACCCCAACAATGATCAGTGTCAGAGTAGATGTGGTGGAAGGGGTATTTTTGAGCCAATTTTTTGATTTCATGGAGATAGACCCAGTAGAGCAAGTGGTGATTGAGGATTGTAGTGAGACTTCTAGGGATCAATCAACTCTACTATTAAAAGAGAACCTTAGAGCGTGGCTTAGAGCGTGGATAGATAGATTCAAGCTCTTGGGCATCACTGCGCATGCCAACCCTTTGTGCCTTCCATAGAAGTAGCACCTAATTTGGAATTGAAAGCCCAACCCAAGCACTTGATGTATGTTTTCTTAGGAGAGTTGTCTACATTGTCAGTGATCATTTCAATAGAGTTGAGTGAGTCATAAGAGGAAAAACTGATGAGACTTATGAGGACATTCAATAGAATCTTTGGGTGGACCATAAAGGACATAAAGGTATTAGCTCTTCTATATTCATGTATAGGATTTTGATGGAGGAGAACCACAAACCCAAAGCTGACTCGCAAAGGGACTTAAACCTTGTAATGAAGGAGGTGGTTAAGAAGGAGATAGTGAAGTGGTTGGATGCAAGCATCATCTATCCCATCTCAGATAGTGTCTGAGTAAGTCAGATCCATTGTTTTCCCAAGAAGGTAAGAGCGACTGTGGTAGAAAATGAGAAAAATGAGATGATTCCCACGACAAGTGTCACTAGGTGGTCGATTTGCATTGATTTTAGAAAGTTGAACATTGTCACTATGAAAGATCACTTTCCCTTGCCCTTTCTTGACTAGATGTTGGATAGACTAGTAGACCACATTTTCTTCTAATTTTTAGATGGATACTCAAAGTACCAGCAGATTCACATAGCCCTTGAGGACCAAGTTAACGAGCCCCTATGGGACCTTGACCTTTAAGAGGATGCCTTTTGAACTATATAATATGTCATCAACCTTTCAGGCTGCATGATTTTCCATTTTTATTTAACTGAGAAAGCGATAGAGATTTTTATGGATGATTTTTTTGTGTTTGGTCCCTCTTTTGATCGTGCTGGAGAATCTTGTCAAAGTATTATGGAGGTGTAAGGAGACACACTTGGTTTTGAACTGAGAAAAATGCAAATTCATGGCTACTAAAGTATTGAGTTGGGATGCAAGATTTTTGCGGTGGGAGGGAGGTAGATCCTTTGAAGATTCAAGTATAAAGAAGCTTTTGTCACCCACATATGGGAAATGAATTATGAGTTTTTTAGGACATGGAAGATTTGGCGGACATTACATTAAGACTTTTTCAAGATTTCCAATCCTTTGTGCCACCTGTTAAAGAATGATGTCCCTTTTCACTTTGATGAATACTGTCTCACAGCCTTTGAGATCCTTAAAATTAACTTAGTCACAACATCTATCATAATTACACCGGATTGAGAGTGTCTTTTTTACCTATTGTGTGTTATATTGACAGTGTTTAGGCAAAGGAGAGACAATATTTTTCGAGCTATATATTATGCCGGTAAGGTTTTAAATGAGGCTCAAATGAACTACAACACCACTAAAAATGAGCTATTGGCCATAATATGTCTTTGATAAATTTAGATCCTACATAATCGATGCCAAAATCATCGTTTTCACTATTCATGCTGCGATCACATATATTGTAACTAGGAAAAATGACAAACCATACTTGATCTGATGGTTCCTGTTGTTATTAGAATTTGATATTGAGATTGTGGATAGAAAGGACACTGATAACCAAGTAGTGCATCACTTGTCTAGGCTCGAGCAGGAGAGTTTTGATGAGTTTCTCATCGAAATAAATGAAACTTTTTTGAACGAGAAACTCCTTGTCATCTCTGAAGAGAACATTTCGTGGGATGTCGACAAAGTGAACTTCATTGTTAGTGACATCATACTCTATGATCTGACATACCACTATAAAAGGAAATTCATTTCTGACGCCAGATTCTTCTATTGGATGAACCCTACTTGTTTTGGAAGTGTAAAGATCATATTATTAGGAGATGCGTCCTTTTTGAATAGGTCAATGATATAATTAGGATGTGTCATGATTCAGAATTTAAGTGCATTCTAGGGGATTTAGAATGAATACTAAATTTTAAGTACATATTCTATTGATCTACACTGTTTAAGGATGTAAATGAATATATAAAAAAATGTTATAAATGTCTAAAAGTAACTATTATTTCTAAAAGAGATAAAATGCCCTTAAACGTTATGTTAAAAGTGGAGATCTTTGATGTTTTGGGAATAGACTTTATGAGACTGTTTGTATCATCACAAGAAAACTTGTATATCCTAGTAGCAGATGACTATGTATCCAAGTGGATTAAAGTAGTCCTTAATTGTGATGCTCGGTGTTCAAAAGTTCTTGAAACCATTATTTTCAGTAGATTTGGGATGTATAGGGTAATCAGTAATGAAAAGATAGAGACATTAGTTGTCAAATTTGAGATTAAATATAAGATTTCAATTACATACCATCCCCAGACTAGTGGCTTAGCTGAGGTGTCAAATGGAGAAACTAAGAAAATTTTAGAGAAGCTAGTTAATCCTAGTAGAAAAGATTGGTCACTAAGATTGCATTATGCATTGTGGGGCTATAGGACTCCCTATAAGACACTTATAAAAAGTCCCATAAAGGCTGATTTTTTAGGCTGATTTTTTAAGAAAGCTTGTCATTTACCTATAGAGCTGGAGCATAAAGTGTTTTGGGCAGTGAAATAAT